TACCAAAAAAAGGGGGGCGCCTAGGGATAGGAAGGATGGTGATGGGATATGGATGCAGGTCAGTGTGAAAGCCCTGGGTTCAATCCCCAGTCCTGGGAAAACAGAGAGAGATCCCTTGTCTGATTTAAGTACTTTTTACAGAAATGCTTAGTTTGTGACATTTTTTCTTTATTTTGGGAAGGCTACACAGGTGACACCAGGACCACTGATCATTTTCTACAATCCAGTGTCTTGTAGAGATCATATACTTACCCAGACCACCACTGAACCACTGAACCACTGAACACAACAAGCAGCTTTTACTAAACTTACTGAGTGCAGCAACCCAAGCCATCTTCTGCTGATTAATTAACTAACATACATGTCCTCAAATAATATTTGGCAAAGAAGAAACAAAGTAGTGTGGTATATTTGGAGAATAAAAATCTTTCAAAACCAAATGTCCATGTGGGTCAAATATTAAACAGGGTCCTTCAGTGATTAAAAAAAACTGCTTAAAAGTCGCTGCATTAGTAGATCAGCCACAAGACTGGGGAGCTGTTGTGTAGGAGAAAATAGTACTGACCACGATGCAGCCAGGTGCCAGGGCATAAAAGGGCTAGAGTGCAGAACTGGCCCAAGAAATGTCAGTATCACAAAAAGTGTGCATGCGTATGTGGTCACAAGACTGTGTGTGTATTTGTGAAAAAGAGAATGTGAGGGGGGTCATGTATATTCATGTGATACAGCACACAAGTGTGCAGTCGTGAGAATACATGATGCATGTGTGTGGTCATGGAAGAGGGACAGAGAATGTGTGTGGTGGTGCAAACAGTCCTAAGAGTGTGTGTGAAGGTGAGTAGGTGTGTACAGATGAGAAAACTGTGTTGGTGGGTGCGTGTTGGTAATCCTGTGTCAGGGCTCACGACTGCATATGATTGTGGTCATGAAATCATGTGTGCTCCCAAGAGCACAGGAGGTCCATGTTCCAGGTGCTGTACCCCAGACGGGGCCAAAACGTGCAAGCACTCCAGAGCTGACCTGGTGTGAGCAGAGATCATGGAACTGAGCCCAGCATACTCTTTTGATCACACACACACACACACACACACACACACACACACACACACACACACATCCTACCAGAGATGCACTACAGGATCTCCCAGGCCCAGGACTCCTTGTCCATGAGAAACAGCTGGAGTCACCCCTGCACCTCCCATAGTTCCTACTCTCAAGGAATAGCACACACCAAGTCCTGGGCCAGGCCTCCCTCTCCAGACCCCCCACGCTTAGCACTGTTCCTTTTAGCCAATCACAGGAGAGCTCTCTTCTGAAACTCTCAGCAGTGTTCCTTTAACCAATCACAGGAGAGCTCTCTTCTGGAGCAGCTGCCAAGGACCCCTCCATCCAGCAACCATCCCCAGCCAACCCCTGCCTGGGACTACAGAGTCCCTCGCCCGCCCACCCAGCACGGGGGTTCCCCTCACAACATCCTTCCCAGTTTAGTCTTTACTTGATTATCCCTCAGGAACAAGAGGACTCACTACTAAATGAGGAAAGTTTGGTCATTCTAAGGAAGTTTTTCAGATATGCATTTAATTTACAAGAATTTAATTCTTCTGGCTGAGCAAATGAAGCAACAAAAAAGCTATTTCATCTGATACTTAACTACAAAATCACATTGGACATACTCTTTTTAAATCACTGTACAATGATGATATATGCATTACATATTTATACAAAAAATGTACATAATATATACTAAATCTATACATTTATACTATTATTCAGGGTTAAAAACCTAAACCCATAGACCATGTTTTGTGAAGGATTGGGGGATTTTCACTTTATCTGCTACCTACAGAATCTGACTCCCCCATGAGGTATCCTGGGTCTCCGGAGGCTTCTCTGCTCCAGGTTAAATATTTCTAGTTGCAAGGAGGCCCTGCTTCATAGAACCCATGGGGCCAGAATCTCTTCAGTTCAATCCAACACTCACTCACTGAGTGATTTTCACCAATCCAATACTGTTACCGACACACAAGACATTCAAGAGATACAGCTCAACCCTTAGGAAGTTCACAGGTAACTTGAAGAAGCACAGATACACGTGTAGTTGTTGCAGAGCAATAAAGATAGCATGAGACCGAATCTTGAGTCTCCTGCCTGGGGGTCAGTACTAAGCACCTACTACTTGGTAGTAGGACTGATTGAATTAACTGATGGGAGTTTCTCCTCCAGCTCCCTCAGAATGAAGAGGCTCCAGGAAAGGCCTCTCAGCCTCCAAGGGAAAGGCAGGCAGCTGCCCTGTGCTAGCGCTGGCTTCTGAGGGGACAGAAGACACCTTCGAGAAGGCCCAGGTCTGCAGCACTCAAGCTCTGGCTAGCAGTCATGGGCGTACAGCCAGCAGCAGCCAGGCAAGGACAAGAGGGGAGTCCTCAGGGTGTGTTGGTCCTTAAGTCTCACAGCAGCCTCGCATGGAGCTCCTTGTCCTGCTGCTATTTCCCCTCAGTGACATTCTCAGTTCCCTCAGGCCCGTGCGAGGACAACAAACGCTGAGATCACCTAGAAGCAACCCCTCTTGGAGTACAGTACTCAGAGAGGCCGTGGTCCTGAGTCCTCAGCATAGCACCATGGCCCATCTGAGTCCTTTTTATCTTGCAGGCCACCCGAAGTGCCATGCTCCTGTGAGCCAACACAGTATGCCCTCCACAGCTAATTATAGGTCAGTGAGCTAGCAGGCCAAAGGGGGGACAGATGGCGACTTCATGCCTCCCTCTGACCCCACTCCTTCCTCTCCATTTCTCTCAGTCCCCTACCTGGGACCCAGGCTCTGAGGCAGCTTCCATTCCTTTAATCCTCCCTATTCCTCAACAACTCCTCCCCTTGGCACACCCCATCCGAAGCACACTCTTGCACGTGCGTGCGCGCACACACACACACACAACTCTACACTACTTGGTCACCACACCTTGTGCTCAACACAGTAGAGCCTAAGCCCCCAAGGAGAATATCCCTGGCATAAGAAAGCCCAGCTTGTTCTCCACATCTTGTGTGAAGGTTTTGTGTGTGTTTGGGGGGGGGGGTATTTATTTATTCGTGGGTTTGTGTTTTGTTTCTCAGCGCTGAAGATGGAATGAGACATGCTAGACAAGGTCACTACCACTGAGCTATACCCCCAGCGCTCCCCCATATCTTTAAAGCCCCCTTTGCACCCACTCCCTCTGAGTCTTTACCCCTGACTCATTGGCACCATAGCTTCACTACTCATCCTGTCCCAGCTCCAGCCCTGCTATTTTCAGATGATCAGAAAGGACCCACAGCAAATCCCTGATAACTCTTTCTAACTCTAAGGTTTCAGCAATCAGCTCAGAGGAGATCCAGGAGGCTGCCTGCCTGCCCTGCCCTGCCCTGCCCGGCCCCTCCAATCAATCCCCCCTTCACAACTCAGCAGCCAGACCTCATACACTCTGACATCTTGATGTGCTCAGCAGCACACACCCAAGCCCCACAGGATGAGGTCCCCTCCAGGCCCTGCCCCACACTCCTCCATCTTCCCAAGATGGTATCTCCCTCAGTGAGTGTCTAGTGCATTCTTGAGCCCCAGTAACCACTGTGCAAGCCATCCTCTCATTACTCTGAGCTATCACTTATCCCAGGAAGCCTCCTCAGGACACAATCAGTAAAGAACCAAGGGAAATCATTCAAACTGTCTTTTTGCTCAGGCAGCTTCCCTGGGACTACCTGACTAGTTAGTGGTAGAGACTTCATGGGCTGGAATGGAGTTAAAACTCTGTCTTTGGCTAATCCAATAGCAATGTAACTAACTTGTGCATAGGAGGGGAGAATGCTAACAGGGTGCCTATTATATGTGCCTACTGTGGGTATCTTCCAACTGTTCCACGACCCTAAATTGCCCGCAGAAGACCAAGCATGTAGTATGGTCTCTGGCACAGAGTGGGTACCCAATAAAGGTCGGCTGGATGCTGAACACAGTACTAAGTGAAACAGTCCTAACTACTCTGGAAACAGCTGCAGAACCCTGAAACAGAGCTCCTGGAGGGGCCCCTTCAGCTCACTCCGGGAGGGGATCTCCTTGCTACACAGAACCTCTTCCTAAACGACTTGCTCTCCTCATAGAGCTGAAGGGCAGCCTCAAGTCCCCTACCCCTCTAAGGAACACCACCAGCACATCTGTCTCAAAGGTGACATCAGCGTCTAGTGGCACTTGGTCCTGGATCACTCCTCCTTCTCAAAGAAAACCACCCACACCACGTTTCCAAGTCCTCCAGCCCGACCTCTCTCTCTACCCACCATCAAACCGTCAAGATCTATACCGGAGATGAGACTATCCCTACTGCGCGGCCAAAAGTCAGCTCCCTATTCCCAACCCCCAGTTCAGGAATCTCTATCCCAGCTGTCTTTTCCTGTTGTGCCCACCCTCATCCCCACCCCCACCAGGCCTCTGGTGGCCGCTCCTTCCACCCCACCGCCCTGGCACTGCGGAGATGGGGACATCTCTGGCACAGGCTGAGCCTGGCCGTTCCAGGAATGGAGAGTCGGCGGTAGCCAGTAACAAGGGTGTAATGAAGCAAGCGGGAAGGAGTAAGACACCTGGGAAGTACGCAGACCTCAACCTCGCAGAAGCGCTTGCCCAAAGGAGTAGAGTCGGCCCTCGGGTGAGCCGAGAGGCGCTTTTTCTGGAGGGGAAATGGGGGCGCAGTACACCCAGCTCCCACCAGCAGACGAGCCAGATCACCCCCTCCCGCGAAGCCGAAGGAGCTGAGAGCGAACTCTACACCTTCCCTGCAAATTGGACATCACCCCTCTTCTCATCCCCAAGGGCACAGGGCACCGCAAGGCTGACGAGGGGCAGGGAGGGGACAGTATCGAAACTCGCCATAAAGAGAGTAAAATGAGGCTGTTTCCCAAAGCAAGCTAGACAAGACCCTCCCCAAACTGCAGGGAGCTAGAGCTGGGAAAAAAGAGGCGTCTTTCCCCCGGCTCTGGGCGCTCACCTGCTTGCAACTGCGAAAGGTCCAGAAGCAGGCAGCTCTGCTCGGAGCCGCCCCCGACTCGAGCAGCGCGACACGTCTCGGAGAGTCGAACTCGAGCAGAGGTAGCTGCAACCTCCGCCGCCCCAGCGCCCTGCCTCGAAGCCCCGCCCCCTTTCGCCGCGGACACCCTAGCCCCGCCCCGATGGGCGGGGCCTGGTTCTCCTGAGGCCCCGCCCCGGGCGCTGGCACGTGACGCGAGCGCTGCTTTGCTGCTGTGCGCCATCTTGGTTCAGCCTCTGGAAATGACAGTGTCAGGGCTTTCTTTACCTGGCAAGTTGGGGTCAGGAATGCAGCACACACCCTGCCCCTAGTGTAACCACCTGTACCCTCAATTGGCCAGCTGCTTGTCACCTTTCTCATCTGCCCTCTCCCACCCATTTTTAACTGAAGAAACTTGAAACCGATACATTGGGTAGTATGCTCTTCAGGGAGTTCGTCACTCGCCTGCAAGCATCCAAGTTCTAAAACTGTTACTATAAAATGCGATGTTTGTCTATTATATATAGATAGGATGAAAACAGACTCTGATGCCAGAACTCCTGACAAATTTTATTTAAAATTCTCCTGAATTGCTCCCTTATCCTGTCCCCCTGTGGCTATTAATGCATCTTGCCCATCTGGTTTGTGAAGTTTCATCACGGTGCCTACTCAATCCTTTACAAATACCCAGTAAGCACTCTGGAAGTGTGAAGAACTTTTATACACACATAACGTTCACATATGCATGAAGATATATATATGTTCTCTATCAGCAGCAAAGGCTATAGTTGAGATCAATGACACACAGAACTGTTGACTATTTTTCCTCCAATATTTGGCTAGAATTCTGATTTACTTTGGTGGTAGGGCTAAAGCTAAATTTGCATTATTTTGTTTGACCCTCAAAATCATGATTCTGTTTAAAGTGAAAATTATTAAACAGTTTTTATCCTGACGTCCAGAAAGTTCCAACTCTTTTCCAGGTGGCCTGGAGTTACCAAAAGGAACTCATGCTAGAAAAGGAAACTCAGCCAAAGCATGAGAAGACTCAAGCCACGATAACACCGACAACACACTTTCCCAAATGTGCCATTAAGAGAACAGCAGAAGCAATATCCAACATCACAGCTAACATCACACCATGGATTATGACACAAAAACTCAGAAGCTGAATCAGAACACAGTTATTAAGCCCAGTTTATGAGGCACACATTCCACACTGACAACTTCCTCCTGCTCCAAGGCATCTTCTGTTCAGGGAACTAGGGTCTCCACTCTTCTTTCCTTCTGCCTCAAAGAGGCAACTTTTTATAGCAGAGATCTGTGAATTGCTTTTGGTCCTCAGGTTGTTTTTATTCCTTAACTGCCCAAATTCTGTTTTTCACTGACCCAGGCTCACTTTCTGTGTGAAGAGATTTAGCGCCACCCTCAATGTGGGGTAAGGCTAGTTGTCAGCAGCAGAAATAAGCAGATGTTTCCTAAGAATATTCTTTAAATAGCAGGGGATGGGGAGGATGGTAAGGAAAAAACAACATACTAATTTAGCAGTTTGGCTCACAATTCCTGCCCCCAACAAGGCTTTTATGTTTAAAGAATATTGTCTTACTGCCCAATTCCTGACAATATCCAGCTCCCTGATTTGAGCAGGGTGGGCCTGGGGCCGGTGTGAGCACAGAAAGGTTATCTGCTTAAACAGAACACTCACGGCCCTCCTCTTGGCACCCCAGGCTAGAGCAAGTCTTCTGCCAACATGTGGGCATCAGCATTTCTGCACAGACAAAAAGCCAGGCTCCTGCAGGCAGCAGAGGCAGCACAGTGCAGGGCAGGGCAGTCACTAAATCCCTCTGGTTCGAGGCTGGTTGGAACATGCCATGCATTTCTGAAACAACTTTTAGCATGACAAATGCCTTCCTGAAATAACTTTCTTGGTGTGTTTCACATTTTACTCAATAACATATAGTTAAATGATTCACTCATCATTCTTACATACTTTCTAGGCTGATCAGGACTTAGGTATGCCCTAATCAAACTTTTACTCACCTTTTTATTTTTTATTTTTTGGTTTATTACACTTTGTACACTCCCTTTCTCCACTATCTCCCATGAGAAAAATGGGACTGATCTTTTAAACTGTAGATAGCAAAAAAGCCCTGGGTTAGAACCTTAGCTCTGTATTTCCTGACTGTTACGGCCTTGGGTAAGTCATTAACTCGGCTTCTCAACCACAAAACGGAAATAACTTCACCTGCCTTGCCAGGCTGTGTGAATCAGAGATGCTACGTAAAGTTCCCAGTGCCCTACTAAGGACCCATCGCCATCACTGTCAGCCTTACGCAAAAGCAAAACAAAACTCTGAAATCCAAAACTGGCAAAATAGTTATGCAATAAATATCCAAAAATTATTTTTTAAAAAAGATACACAAGTCATTATTATAAGATTCTGAAAACCCTGTCCCCTGCTTTATTTCTGGAGAAGGGTAAAGGAAGAAGAGAAAATATTCACTTGAATTTGAAGAACAGCCACACTGGAAGCAACAGTAGCAACAATTTTAGGCCTTGGGGTGGTGCCTCTGATCCACATAAACTTCCTTGCTTGAAGATTTGAGATTCATTCTTTCCTAGAGCAAGATCATCCATTTTTCCACTGGTACAAAAGAATAAAGAAACAAACTCAATAGCACCAAACTAGATTTTAACACAGAACACAGGGCCAGGTTTGTCCTTTCAAATGCAAATTTTTACATTAAAATATGTTTATGAATAGTTGTTTTCCTCTTGACTGAACCCTTCTTCCTGTAATAGGAGCCCCAGGAATCCAAAGAGTGTGTGCATTACCAATCAGATATGTAATCCAGCTGCCCCTTGCAAACTGGAATCTGATTACTAATGGACTGGACTCAGGGCCCCCCGGGGAGGGAAGCAGTAACTATGCTCTCAGGGGGAACGGATACTGCGGATGCCACCAGTCAAAGAGTCGAATACTGTGCACTGGGTCCAGGATGACTTGCACACCCTGTTCACTGCGTAGGTTCCGCCCACCACGGACAGGAGAATCTTGGAACACAAGCCTCACTCGATGATGCCGCATGTCCGTACTCACATTAATTGTAAACTAGAAGGGAAAAGAAAACTTAGTGCCCAATTAACCATGGTTTCCTATGGCTCATTTCCCTAAAATGAGACAGTCTAGATATAATTTATACTGGCTAGAACAAAAGATTAATTTCTAAGTTAGAGCACCAACACCTTTGTAAAGACATAAAAACTAAGGATGATTTTATAAGGTCTTCTCAGCTTCATACATTTAAATTATACTAAAGAAAGCCTCACAGATGTATGGATAAATTAGGATATACACAGACTACCATCAAAGGCAATTTTCCTTTAAATTGAGTTAGAACTGAGAGATGACTTGGAGGGATTTTAATGAGATATTGTTGAACAAGTGAAGCAAGATCCATAAAAACATAAACCTGTTCCCACTTTTTATAAAATAAACCATAAAATCTCTATGTGTACATATGTAGGCTTATACAGAATTAGTATGAGGTATATGGAGTGTGAGCAGATAGCTGGTTCACTAATGTGACTTAGCCTGGAGGGTGGGAGAAGTGCCTTCATTAGGAATACCATGAGTGATATAATCTCAATTATATAAAATTATTTGGGAGAGGATTATACATGAACACATTAATAGGCACATTAAAAAAGTTTTCAGAAGGTTGGAGATTTAGCTTAGTGGTTCCGCCACCTGCCTCGCAAGCGCAAGATCCCGAGTTCAATCCCCAGTACCAAAAAAAAGTTTTCAGAAACTTATCTGCAGTTGTAAGACTGTGGAAGTCAAAGTCACCTCTGTTTTTCCAATACATTTATGTATTATTTAAATTCTTTACATAAGCATACATTCATTTTTCGGTACCGGGGATCAAACTCAGGACCTTGTGCTTGCCAGGCAGGCATGGTGCCTATGAGCCAAATCCATGGCCCCAAGCACACATTATTTATTTTACAATTTTAAAAGCTATTTTCGTTTTGAGGGTACACCATGTATCTCTGAACAGAAGCCTAAGACACAAAGAAGACAACATGAACTTTCCAGCTGTCAATCCAATTAAAATTTTTTAAAACATGGAAAGATAAGCCACAGGCACATACGTCATTTACTAATCTAATTCTTAGTCAAGCTCTGAGTAGTTAGAGCATCATACAAAAGTCAGAACTGATCAGCCTATATTTTAATATTCTGTTTATGACTATTCACATGCCTCAAGGTCCTGACATACAATGCCCGTGTGCTTGTATTTGTATTCATTGTTTTCCTTTCATAACAATGTTTCTCAGTCACTAATGATCACTGCACACACACAAAGACAGAAAAACATTTCCCTTCCTATAGAGAAGGAAACAGATGTAAAATATTCTCAGATATAACTTCTCTAATATACAAGTCTGATTTCAGACTATTTTATTATTCCTCAGATTTCTTCCTCAATGGTTAAATTTACAAATCTCTTTCAAACTCTAGGTATAGTAAGAGTCTATAGACGGCAAGCAATAACATCCTGAGTTTCCACTTACCAGGGTAAATATCATCCCCATGACAATTGGAGTAAAGATGAAATTGAGGGTAGTAACCTGCAGTAGGCAGCAGTCCTGGTCTGGGTTGGTATGAACATCTTTGTATTGAATGGGGGGCTGCAATTGCCCCACACACTTGCTCTTTAATCTAGGAGACTGAAGAAAACTAAGAATTAATCTAGTGGCCTAGAGGAAATACTTATGCCTCAAAGACTCCAATAATGAAAATCCAACACCTCAACTAAAGCTAATGAGTTACAATATTATCAATTGCCTCTTTATATACATACTGGTTTCTATGCAGAGCTCAGAGAAATCCTGCCCTTTGAAGGAAGGGACAAGTGAGGGAAAGCCAACTCGTGATGCATCTCATAGTGAACTACTAAGTAGAGAAGACAGGTGGGAAAAAAGAGGCTGCTGAGGCTGAGAAGTAAAGACAGGCAAAACAGACCCTCATTGCGGCCTGATACAAGTATAGACGGAACAAAACATGGACAAAAGGACATACTGTGGCTTCCCTGAAATGCCCCAGACACAAAACCATATAAGTTGTTTTCATTTATAAGCACATTCACTTTGAACAACAAAGACAAATTTAGACTAATGATTTCAGTACATTATTACAAGTGTTTCCCTTTTTCTTCTTAGAAGTCTTTGAATATATAAAAAGGTTAATAAAATAATGTACTAAATTCCTACATACATGCTATCATTGGACATTTTGCCATATTTAACTCTTTCACTCCTTCTCATTCTATCTATACATTTAACACATACACTTTGGGAAAAGAAGGGGTGCAAAGAATTCGGCATGAATGAAGACACATATAGGGCCGGGGATTTAGCTCAGTGGTTCCTCTGCCTGCCTCGCAGGCCAAGGTATCAAGTTCAATCCCTGGTAACAAAAAAAAAAAAAAAAAAAAGGAGCAGCCTTGGCAATACAAAGACACATATAACCACAATATCATTATCACAAATAAGAAAATCAACAAGTTTCAAATCATCTAATAACCACAGTATATTCAAATTTCTTCAGCTGCCCCCAAAATATTTTTTATAGAGGTCTTTGTTCTCTGATCCTAGATCCCCTCAGGGTTTACTCTGTGTATTGGGTTGTTACCTTTGTCTTTCAATACAAAATAGTTGGATATGAGGGCAATCTGGCTGCGACATCTGTCACCCCAATGACTGGGTTGATCTGGCTGATCTGGCTGGCTAGGGAGGTGTCCTCTTCCTCCTTTACTGCCTCATGTGTGTCCCTCCTGACGCAGTTCAGTGGAAGAGGACCACCTTCCCCGATGGAGGAGGACATTTCCTTGGTCAAGGTATCTGTGCTCCCCTGTTAAAACCTTCAAAACAAGCTCTCAATACAAGATAGTTCCTACTCCTTTTTCTTTTCATGGCATGAGTGGACCCCCCAAATTCCCAAGGACTACATTCTTAGAGCACCCATGAATTGTGAAAAACCATGAATTTCAGATATGGTGAGAAAAATGTCTATAAATGCCTATTTTTATATTTTAAACCCTAAATATGCTATGTCTCCTGCAGTTATGTAATTTAATTTAATAAAATACTGTATTAACAAAGCCTTAGAAGATGCAGGGCATTTTGGCAGCATCTAGAACTGAGTAACACTCTCAGATTGGCTACTTGCAAATCTCCCACCAAAAAAACAATTGCAGTGGGTATTTACAGTTTCTGCAAAATTGCGGGGGTTTCCATGAACAATTATTAGGTTCTAAGGAAAATTCCACAAAGACCAAGGCCGCCAACACTGAACCACAACTTAGTGAGAGTATACTCTATTATAGGTTCTGAAACATATTATTTGATGTTAGTAAGATCATTTCATGCCCAATGTCATAGCTTGAACATCTGTAAACCCTCAAAAACTCACGTTGAAATTTAATCTTCAATTTGGTGGTATTGAGAGGCAGGGCCTATAGGAGGCGATTAGGTCATGAGGCCTCTCCCTCCCTCATAGGCATTCAGGCCTCCTAAATGAGGATCCACACAGGGTTTGGCCCCTTTTTGCCTTCCAGCCTCTGCTATGTGAAGACAGTGTTCCTTTCCAATGAAGGATGAGACAACAGGGAGCAGAGAGACCAGGGCCTCACCAGGCACAGAACCTGCAGGTGCTTAATCCTGGACTTTCCCAGCTCCAGAACTGTGAGGAAATTAAATTCTGATCACCATGAGTTCAAGGCCACCCTGGGCTACATAGTGAGAATTCAAGTCCAGCCCAAACTACATAGTGAGACCCTGTGGTACTTTAGTATAGCATCACAACGTACTAACATAGCTGGTGAAATTCATAAGAACAAGATATTATCTAATTCCAATTTCTTGCTATTACATATATATTCTTCTATGTATATTTCCCTATTTTCTTTTTAAGGTGCAAGTTTTTATTCTTATAAACATTTATTTTTCCAATATTTCCCTATTTTCATCTACTTGATAAGAGACTAACGATAGTATCTTAAGTATATAATTCAGTTTCTGTCCATTCTCTTTTTATGTTTAACATCATCATTGTATGCTTAATGAATTTTGATGTTACTTTTTTAGTGCATAAAAGTCATGGCTAAAATATCACTTTTATTATTTTTTAAAATCAACATAAACATATTTTTTCCATTAAAGGGAAAAAAGAGGGG